GGGGGGGGGGGCTCCTATTGTATTTTCAGGAAATGTGTTTATCTTTTCTGTGAGAACATTTGGACAGGAAACTCACAACAGGTCACTGATGCCAGAAATGAAAAACTTTCTTTTTCTGTTTAATTTCATCTGAAAAGATCCTGCTGCTCTGAGGTCACGGTGCTCCTCAGTTTCCTCACAAGGACACAAAGAACCAAGACTGAAGAGGACCGAGAACACCGCCAGCAGCAGAACCATCTGTACCGTTTCATTGTCCGGTCCTAATTCACCTGCTGTCCTCGGCTGAATTCAGCTCACATTTCCTCTGAAGGTACTCTGGGAACAAAGTTTTGAAGCTTATTTAATGCAGCTGATTAAATCCTCTTACTTTGTGTGTGCATGAGTTTGTCTCTATTGTTCATAAGATCCTAAAGTTTATAAAGAACAAATTTTATTTAAACTATCAGAGACGTCTGTCACACATTTAATGCACTGTGATCCACGTCAGCTGTTTCATTAAAGAACCTGTTTCTGGTTTTCTGCTGCAGCTCTGCCAACTCTCACCTGTCCCAGGTGTCATTCTGTCCAGGGGTCTCCACTTCCTCATCAGCCCTGCCCTTACCAAAAGTATGCAAGTGTCCTTTAAGTATACTAGAAATAAGAGTATACTTTTTTTGTACTTAGCAGAGCTATACTCAACAAAAGTTCATGTTTCTTGGCTTATAATAAAATAATATACTAAAAGTAGAATAAGGTAAATAAAAGTACATTTGAGGAAATTTACTTTAATATACTTAAGTCTACTTAATGACATGTACTTGAGGTATATTTCTTTTTAATAAGGTTTATTACTGTAGTTCTGTCTCTGTATCTGTGGTACATTATTGGTTGTACACATCAATGTGGCAAAAGTATAAGAAGTACTTGAAAAAAATAACTAAGTAAAAATAAACATGTCTAAACAGAAAATGACTGGTAAAAATGAACTTTGCTGATAACAAAATTGTTAAGTAAGCATAAAAAAACACCAAATAATTGTAAAAGTAAAAGTACTTTTAAAGGTGTTCATTTTTACAGTAAAGAAGTAAAAGTATAATTTTTAGGTTTTGAATGTAACAAAAAAAGTAAAAGTTATTATTTAAAAAGAATCCTTTAAAATTACTTCAGTACTGTAACAAAGTAAATGTACTACTATTCTCCTCTGTACTGTGTTTCTCTTCATGCTCTTTGTGTTCTTCGTGCTCATTGCTGTTTGCTTCAGTKGTTTTGTWAGAAGCTTTTTCTGCCACGTCAGCACTTTGCGCTGATAATATTTCTTTTTAGGTATTTCTTCGAGCTCTTTGTGTTGAGTCTGCATTCTGAGTTCGAACCATCTATAAACCACGACAGCAGCACTTGAATGGTTTATCTGCACTTTGTCCATGAATTATACATGTTTAATACATTTTCCAGAAACATCTTTTATTTAAGGTTTTGTGTCACAAGGGCCATGATTCATGTTCGTGTTTGGTATCTTATACTCTTACAGTTTATTTAAATATGTTTTTATTTTTTCTATTTATTTTACATAGAAATGGACTTAAAGGTTCCAGTGGACAATTGTTTCTGCTTTGTGTTTTCATGTAGGAGTCCACCTCTGTCTCCTTTTGTTGCCCTAATATCAACTTTCTGGAGTTCTACAGCTTGTGCTCAAAAATAAAAGCTCAGGTTTTAGGGTTTTACTTGTTTTTGTGTTTTCTTTGCAAAAGCCAAGGCAGTTTTTCTTTACATGTGTACTTTGTTTCCTGGTAAAAAAAAAAAACCATGAATTTAGTTGATTCCAAAAGTAATTACGTGTTCAGTGTTAAGTGTAAAGCCACTGATTACTTTGGTCAAAATAAGCACAGCATGAAAAGTTCGACTGAGTTTAGGAGCAATGTCRCTGTAAACAGAGCAGAGTCTATGTTTGCTCTGACAACACACCATTCTTGCGTTATTCTGATTGCCCTCAGACCCATCCAGTTT